TGATTTCGGGTTATCAAGTAATTGTCCATCTTCAGGAGAGAGTTTCAAATTTTTCCACATACGGAGAAATGCTGGTTTGGCTTCCAAAAAACCGGTTTCTTTGAGAATATCAAGAGTGTACTTTTGTTGAGTGAGCAAAATTCCTTGACATGACCTTGCCACTTCTATTCCAAGAAAATATTTCAACTTTCCCAAGTCTTTGATGTTAAATAATTGTTGAAGAAAATGTTTTAGTCGATGAATTTGAAACTCATTGTTCCCGGTGATGATGATATCATCAACATACACTAATACAAGGGTGATGAGATCTCCAGACTTATGGGTTAACGAGGAATAGTTCACTGATGATTGCTTGAAGCCTGCGACAATGAGGGCGAAACTAGCTCCTTGATACTTGTTTCAACCCATAAAGAGACTTGCGAAGCCTACAAAATTTGTTGTCCCCTTTTCGAGCAAACCCTAGAGGAATTTTCGTATATACCTTTTTATATAAATCACCGTGTAAAAAGGCGTGTTTCACATCGAGTTGGTAAATATTCCAATTGTGAGAGACTCCAACAGCGAGTAAGCATCTCATAGTAACCAACTTAGCAAAGGGGTCAAAGGTTTTCATGGTAGTCCAATCCCTCTGTTTGGGTATATACCCCTTTGTAGCCAAACGAGTCTTATAGCGCTTTATGGTTCCATCGGCTTTGTATTTGATTTTGAATATCTCACTTACATCCAATAGGATGTTTTCCAAGTCTTGTTTAATTCAAGGACCTTAATTTCTGTTGCCATAGCTTCACGCAAAAGAGGATCTTTAACAACTTGAGAAAAAGTTTTGGGTGCTTCTTTGGAATAGATGGTGGAGACAAAAGCTTTGTAAGTTGGTGAAAATTTTTTACATAAGAGAAAATGTTCAATTGGACAAATATTATCTGAAGATGGTGTAAAGGAGATGGATTCTTGTTGTGATGGATTGAAACTTGCAACAGAGCAGGCAAAGTCTTGAAGCCGTGTTGGTGGAACGTGTGGATGAGTGGATCGACGAAGGGGAATATGGGGTGATGAGGCATCATGAGTAACAGGTTGTGACTCGTTGTTTTTAGAATTTGAATGGTTATATGCTTCACTAGAAGATTGAATGGAGGTTACAGATGGCAGTAGCACAAAGGTTACATCTTCAGTAGAAGATTGAATGGTTATATGCTTCAGTAGAATTTGATTGTAACCTCAGTGCTACGGGCATTAGGTAAACAAACTGGTTTATTTTGATGGTGAGTAGTGGGTGACATTAAAGATGACAAGTGCGGTGTGAAATGATGCGATGCACCTGAATCTATGACCCATGAAGTATAAAATTGTTGAGAGACAGAAAGACAAGCGTTTATACTTACAAAAATTGCATTGGAAGGTTGAGAATCATGGAAAGAAGCTGTTGATATTGGCTCGTAGTGAGAGGTAGAAGAGATGGTGTTCCTCCATGTTGTTAAACCTCTTGAGAAGAGTTCGCAGCAAGGTGAGAACTCACGTTATGAGCATGCTTTTTTCCCTTTTGTTGACAGTTATATCGCCCATTGGAAAAACATTTTGGATGACCTTCGGAGTAGCCATGAATCTCGTAATCGGTATCTCTGGTATGACCAAGTTTTTTGCAGTGATCATAGTAAGGTTTCCCTTTTGATCGAGCAGGCCCTTTGCATTGAATCTATCCACTATTAGATCCGTTGACTACAAGAGCATATGTGTCTGAAGGAGTTGACTGGCCTATATGTAAGCCTTTGTGTTTTTCTTCATGAAGAACAAGAGAGTAGGCCTTCCCTACATTGGGTAGAAGTTCCATGTCTAGAATATGAGTTCTAATGGTCCGAAATGATTTATTTAGACCCATGAGAAACTAAAAAACTCTTTCAGTTTGCTGGTGTTCTTGTAGCTCATTGAAAGAACCACATGTGCAGTTGGATATATGAGCTTAGCTCATCCTATAAGACTTTGAGAGAGGAAAAATATGTAGCTACAGTTAGACGTTCTTGTTGTAATGTAGCAATTGAATGTTTGATTTTATAAATCCGTGGTCCATTTCCTTGAGGAAAGGTCCAACCAAAGATCACGTGCAGTCTCTGCATAGACCACATTGTTGGCAAGGTCTCACACAAGACCATTGTACAACCATGTCATAACAATGAGATTGCATCTATCCCGTGCTCTAACTTCAGAGAGGGGATCTCATGGTTTTGGAAAGGTACCATCAACGAAACATATTTTATTTTTGGCTCCAAGAACCACTTTCATGGCATGTTTCCAAGTGCCAAAGTTGTCACTAACAAGAGGTTGTGAGACAAGAGTGTTACTTGGATTGTCAGATGGATGCAAGAAAAAGTAAGATGATGAATGTGCAGAGGCAAGTGAGCAGGGAACAACAACAAAGTAAAAGGAAGCAGAGCGCAAATGACAAGCACAACAGGGGGCAGAGTGGTGGTGGATAGTCTCCACAATAGATAGCCATGTAGTGGTGTTTAGACTCCACGCAAAGACCACTTGCTTTGTCTGAATGATACTATTGTGTAGAGCAACAATGATGGAAAGAAACGGCAAATCAGCCACAACAGTGAAGAAGATCAATAGTCCGATCAGTTGATCCGGCAGGACAACATCGACGATGGTGAAGATTAACGGTTGTATGATTAACAGCTGCAGCGGGTGATGAGGAAAGCTGCGATGTGTTGCAGGGAAGAACTCCAAGAGCAATGGACAAAGCGATCTTGACAATGACAGTGATGAGAAGATGATAGAGAAAAGAAATCAGACAAAAAAAGTCTTTCTAGAATCAACCTACCTTCTATCCATTGAGATCCTTCTCTTACTCTCTTGTCCTTTACAACTCTAAAACCTACAAAATCAAAATCAAAGACTTTCCTATACCCACCACCTGTGATCAAACGAAGGTTTGCCATTTTGATTGGGCCCATGCTGATGCAAAAGTGAAGGAAACTTGGCACTTGAGAAGGTTTCTATAGGGGATTAACCCAATCCTCCATTGTTTGATGGCTTCTGTGGAGAGAGAGATGGTGCGATGGTTATGTGGGGAGGCGATTAATAGATTGGGCGAATTGGTGGCCATTTTGGAGTAGAGAGGAACACTTGGAGCGCTTAATTGTAGAGGCATATGCTAACGTTGCTACTGATTTGGGGTTTTCCAAGAGAGGGGTGGAAGATTCAGGGTGAGGAAAGAAGAGAGAGAGAGAGTGGGGGTAGAAACGTTGCTGCTTTGGAGTTTACAAGAGGGGCGGATGATTTGGGGTTAGGGAGAGAAGAGAGAGACAGAAAGAGAGAAAGATAGATGGGTAGAAAAAAGAGAGCCTACGGTTACAGATCGAAGAGAAAGAAGGGGTAGATTTGGGGTGTTACAGGAGGGGTGGAAGATTGGGTTGCATACGGTTACGGAGAGAAGAGAGAGGGGGCATGGATGATGGTTTGAGCATGAAGAGAAGAAAGAGAGGGAAGAGTTAGAGCGGCAAGAAAAGGTGAGCAAGAGATAGGGAGGAGAGAGAACAAGGAGAGAAAGCCCTCGTAGGCTTTGAAAAGTCAAATAGATATGTGGTATTTCAAACACTGTATAGTAAATTCACTTAAGTTTTTTATCTGATATTTACATTGTCAGACAAGGGGACAATTTTGAAAAAAAAAAATTGTCATGTGGGTTGCTTATAATTTCAGGCAAATAAGTACCTATTTAGTAATAAGACAAGTTTAGATAGAGCCAAGGCTTTAAATAATCAAATTTGAACCTACCTAAAAAATTTTACTAGAAGAGGTTGTTTTGATGCCCAAATATTTTTAAATTGATCATTGCGACAACACGATGCATGGGCATGAGAAAAACATGGATTTTATATTTTAAAAATAGTGTATTTTGTAATGCATTTTTGGACCGTCAATTTTCAAGATTTTTATAAATCTACACTATTTTTGAAGCTTTAAACTTCATAAATAAATATGACAATATATTTAAGGCTGTCACAAAGATTTCCAATAATGAAACCACATTTCTCGATACTATTTGAATGTAGGCTCTAATTTGATTGTTTAGGGTACGTAATTTGCTCAATTATTTAACATGTTACTCATATTTCTTTATCTACTTTTTGGTAAATTTTGATACAATTTCTTGTGACCATATGATCACCCTCTCTATTTACACATAACTTGGTTCAAACAGCAGGAGAAGAGATGAAACCAGGTGGCCGAGAATAACTGACTAATTTATCCTTAAATATTTCGCTCCAAATTTTTTTTGTTGAGTGTTTGGATGAGTCCTATCATGTGCACAATAATTGGGGTGCGGTGAGACTCTCAATTTTTCATAAAAATGGTTTACTGATGGCCAAATTTAGCCTTTTATCCCTCTCCATATATATTTAGATGAGATATATTGCGGGCCAATTGCCGAGCTAAATAATGTAGTAGGCTAGAGAACCCAAATTGAAGCTCATATAAATGAACAACCACATGTTAACAGTGGTTGATTATTTTGTCTAGACGCTCTAAATAATGAATAAATAAATAACTAAAAATTTAGGGCAAATTGTGTAGTGTCCTTCTCAAAGGTCATCTCTCTTTTAATTTGGGCCTTCCGATTTATGTTTATAATCACTTATTTAAAGTCGGACAGACAAAAGTGATTATGACTTCATTTTACAAAAAATTAATAGTCTTTGTGTATTATTTTTCTATATTTATCCAGGTCAGATTTGCCTCGAAATTTTAATGCATAAAAACAAGCAAATAACCTATATGTCATACAATTTTTCATTTTTGCCTATGCTTTACTCTCTTTATGTTCGGTTCGTGTGAAAATATTTCTCGAAAAATATTTTCATATGATAAAATTCTCTCATGCGATTAAATATTAGAGTATTTTGACATCAATTACTCCTTATGCATCTTTTCATACCAATTGGCAGCATAAAAATATTCCCATATTTAATCTCACGGGAATTTATTCATGGCCCGAAATACTTTCACACGAACCAAACGTGCCATTTTTCCCCATTTACAGACCCCCACTCCACTCTACACTTCCATGATTTCATCCAATCTCCATTCCATTAGCTTCCCTCTCATACCCCTCCACTCTCTCTCATCATTCAGTAAGCTCTCCTCTTGTTTACACACTTTCTCTCTCTAACCATTTTCCCTCCTCTGTGTGTGGGTGTGGGGCAGCTGGAGCTCCCAATCGATAGAAGACAAACTTTCACATACATTCCAAAGAGCACATAAAAGCAAATATAGATAGACACGCTATGGGGTACTTTGTACCATTGTGAAATATTCATTATTTCCCTTCCTTTATTGCATCGATTTTCTCACTCTTTTGGTGGGTTACTCATGGCTTGGAGAGAATTTTAATTCAGTCATTATTCCTTTGCAGGTTCATGTTCAAGGTGCTCTCGCTCTCTTCGTCCTCTATCTTTCTCTCTCTCTCTCTCTCTCTTCCCCCTTTGAGGTGCCATTTGGAATGAGCAGTGTGCTCTTGATTCTTGAATTTACACTGAAACAAGCTCATATTATGCTTTACTTGTTTTGGATGGATACAGAGGGAAAAGGTTAGCTTTTTGCTCTTCTGCAAATCTCCAATGCTCCATCTATTTGTAACCATGATCTTCACCAAAACAAAATTATTTACTTTATTGCTATTTGATTGGCAAAACCCTGCATTTCCCTAAATTTTATACTGCCCATTTCTTTCTGTGCTTTTTTTTTTCTTGGTGGAAAAGGAAAGTGTTCAAGACTGTGATACTCTTTTTAATATTTTGTCCTTCTGACTCTCTATTTTGAAGGATCTGCCTTTTCAAAGGCCAAGTAAGTTCCTTCCCTCCTTTGCTTTGTTTTAATGTAATGAAATTAGGGATATGGAGATGGAGATGAGGTGCTTGAAAGAATTTGTAAACAGAAGATTGAGAGATTTGGGGAGTCTAAGTACAGTAAGATAAAACTATAGGAGGTTATTGATCCCTATGTTCTTAAAGGTGGATTTTATTATTATTATTATTCTTTTGAATCCTAGGATATGATATTGTACTTTGGCAAGTATAAAATCTATTTGTTGATCCATACATTCTGGTTTTTGTTTACTTAAAAGTGTCAAAATATGAAAGTGGGGTTCTTTTCACATGGTTCAAATGCAACTGGATCTAAAAGGTGCTTTTCTGCGACATTGCCGTAGCATCTCCAGGCGTTTATTATATTTATTTGGGTTATTCCTTTTGCATACTTCTTCTTTTTCTTTTTTCTTTTTTTCCTGGTTGAATTTGGACTTTGGAGCACCAAAATAGCCTTGTCATTTACATGGAATGATGCTTCGAACTGAATCGCATTTTTCTAATTTCTTAAAGACTGCCCTGAAAAGTTTTTCCATATTTGCTCCTTCTTCCTTCCTGTCGTTTTTGTTTAGGTAAAGGAAAATTATTTCATAACTCAGCTGGTGCAAGAGCCGGCTGACTTACAAACGTCCTGATGGATGCTATATAAATTTCATTGTCCATAAATAAGATATGGAAGGTGCATAAAAAAAATACTAAAAATTATATTTTTAATTTTAAAAGTTTATTTATTTTTTGTATTTATGATCATCTTGGCCTAGATGATGAATCTCCAAAAAGCAATTCGAAAAAAAAATCATCTATAATAAATTTTAATGAGGGGCTGCATATGTACACATGGGTCAGCCGACTCATAGAAACCGCATCCATAGGTAACTATGACATTCGTTATTGAAAATATGATCATTATAAGATTTCTATCATTACCTTCATCATCATTTTACCCTTTTCCAATTAATTGGGTCGCTTACATGACTCCTTGTTCTCCATCCTGGTCTATTAAAAGTCATATCGAGGCTACAAGTCCTCATATCTTTTTTTATTACTTTCAATGCCCGTTGCAGTCATTCCACTTTAACTACACCTCCTAACAGGTTAGTTGGTACCACACATGGCCAGCCTATCTAAGTCTACTCTCTCTCATTTTATCGTCTATTGGTGTCATGTTTAAATTCTCTCGAATAGATTCATTTTGAATTATATTCCTTCTTGTTTTGCCACTCATCTATCTCAATATCTTCATCTATGCTACACTCATTTTATGGATATATTATTTTTTTGTCTGCCCTCATTAAAAGATTTCTATAAATTTTTTTTTTGGGTGGTTTGGCAGTCAGATTGAATATTGGGACATATTGGGACCTACTGCTAATATACGAAAAAGAAAAAAAAAATAGTTATGCAACAACATTTCATTGGCGATGAGAAAATTTCAAGAATTTGAGTTTTAGTGAGATTTCTAAGGGAAGAAATGGTGGGGATTTTTCTTTAGAATTTATTGCCCCAACATTCCCGATATGTTAATTGTTTCCTTTCTGTTTTCTATAACGTTCACATGTAAGCCTTGGTTTATTAATGAGTCCATTGAGCTTTTTTTTGGTTATATTGTAAGTTTTAAAATTTCTGGTTACTATACATTTTACTTAGTTATGCTGCTAATTTATGTTTTAATTTCATTTTATGAAGTTTTTGTATGACTGCTCGAACTGCAGTTTTTATGTTGTGCTGATATCCTCATGGAGACATATATGACTCTGCAACTCGGTGGCAGATTCTTTGGCCAAGACAATTTTCAAGTTGACACAAAAAGAAACAAAATAATTGAACTTACTCGAAAGTCTAAATATCCTAAAAGTCATTTCATTCCGATGTATTATTAAGCTAAAACCTAATAGACCCTGGGGACTGCGTCCCGGTTAAAGGGTTCCGGTTTCCCCCTGTCGGAGCTTTGGGGCAGAAGCTCCTACTCAAAAGTCTAGTAGACCTATTGGCGAAATTTTGAGACAAGAGACAATTGCTTTGAACTTTTGAGAGTTTTAAATATAATTGTAGTATTGTATTAGTGACGAACCACGTAAATCTTAATGTTTTTTGTTAGTTTTATTTTATATCTGTTTTGCTTTGTGTTTGATCCTATACTTATTTTTGTTTTTTGGTTTTCCTTTGTCATCAACCTATCTCATTAGGATTTTTTTCACCACCTTCTATTGGTCATATCCCAGAGAAGGTTAGGGTTTTTTCACAGCTCCTTCTATTGGTATATCCCCAAGAACGAGTGAAGCCAGTTGGTAGAAACATCCACCGCGACCAGTGATGAGGTATTCATAACATTGTATAATCCATAGCTCCCTATTATCTGAAAGGGAAATGTTTATCTCTGACCCCAATAACATATAAGTTATATGTAACCCCACTTTTTAGCCTTCGATCTGAATTAAATGACTATGATTGTTCTTACCACAACATCACTTTTAAAACTCATTGTCAAAAGAAAGTATCACTCTAAACACTATTTTTTTTTTTTTTACAAAATATTTTTTGATGAAATTTTGGGCATCCTATCATAAAATTAGGGAAAATCTGGAAAAAATAAATTTTTTTTTTAAAAAAAATAAATGACCAAAATGCCTTTGCAATTTTAGAGGTATTCAGGTAATTTTTCATCATCGGAAATATTGTTTTTATTATTCTTATCATGCGTGCTCCTGTCGGATTTATGCATGCCCCAAATTTTGCTTCAAAATTAATTGTAGAAAAAAAATAAAAAGTGAAAAAACTATGAGGCGTCTGATCAAGATTTGATGGTTAAGAGCTAGCTTGTGATATTCTGACTCAAGCCATCTCAGCCATCCACTGACGATTGAGACCAAGGGTCACATATATTATATATGTGGGAGGGATCACATAGAAGGTTTTCCCTTAAAGAAAATGCATATGACTTAAATTTACAAAGGATAGGGACTTGAAGGAGTTTGCTCCTGTAGAGCCAAATGTTTAAAATAGTACTCTGCTCAGGACTCCCCCCGAGTCTCTAATTTTTTAAAGAAATTAGTAATATCTTTATTTAAATTTCACCGGTTTGATTCTGGACTTCTTTGAGTCAGACCAGGTGACTCGGGCTAGGCAAGTCCCAACCGGAACCTGTCTTTAAACACTAGAAATATCTATTATCGGGCAATGCAAAAATGGTAGTTGCGGCCAAAATGTCCTTCTCAACATTCATATTCCATTGAAACGAGTGAGAAGTCATCCATAAAATAAAAACAACAAAAAGAACATTCATATTCCATTGAAACGAGTGAGAAGTCATCCATAAAATAAAAACAGCAAAAAGGAAAAAGTTTATGTAAGGTCGCAACCTTCTATTATAAACATAAGAGTGATTCAAAGTTGGGGAACCTTCCATTTGATCATCTCGACTTCGAAATGTATGGTATAAAGAGAAATAAAATTTTTCGTCACAAAAATAGTTTATCTTGTAACAAGTCATCTTGACCATTTATTTTCAAGATTTTAAAAGTGTTTATAGATCTACTTAATCTGTACCAACTTTTATGATTAGAGTTACACATGATTTTTTTAGCCATGCAGTGTTTGAATCAATAGATAACCTTTTGTTTTGTATGAATCGATATTATTACATTTCAATTCTTTCCTGATATCTCTCAAGGAAAATGCCATATTGAATCCCAAATTGATGGGTTAGTGTGAGCTTATCCATGCGGTTGTACACTCTACGAATAGAAATCAATTTTCTGAAAGATCCTGGCTTTTGTGCTTTGGTTGGTTGTCCGAGATTCTTTCGATGACCTATGTTGAAGCAATATCTATATGATCCGATCGGTTAGGTAAGACCCACGGTAGCAACGAAACCGGGGAATGTCTACATAAAAGACAATTCTTTTCTATTATAGTTAGGATTGTCTACAAAGAGACAATTTATCTTTTGTACATTGATGTCACAATCATTTTTGTCCCTTAAATTTCAAAATGGGTGGTTGTTACAGCGTCAATGAATACACATAAAACTCAAAAAAGGAAAATTTGTATTTCATGAATCACCTCAAGCATCCAATTAGACATCTAATGAGTGAGAATGATTATGATATTCATGTATAAAAGATAACTCTTTATAAACAATCCTTTGTATTTATTATATTAATTAGTGATCCCGGCCGGGTGAGTCCTTGCTTCCGGGTTGAACTCATCGACGTTGGAACTACAAAATCTAAAGGTGCACCTTACTCGTGCGGTGTAAAGTGGGGGGACTTCACCCTACAAAAATAGTAAATGAGTTTGCAGATCATGGTACATACGGAAGTACGGGCACCACCAGAATTGGAATTTTAGAGAAGCAACTTGTATAGTAATATGGTAACTTCTCTTGAGCAATCGGTCACTGCGCCATAGATTCCCTCTCCTTTAATTCATTATATGGATTGAGCAGACAAAATTACGGCTCTTTAAATGCTCAACGCAAGAGAAGATAATAACAAATTTACTATACCCTATTAAATCTCTTCACTTTTTTCTTCACATGGTAATGATGTTCATCATTAAAAAAATTATGGGATGATTTATGAGTTAGTTAACAGAGTTAATTTGATTGAGAAGATTTTTAGTTGGAATGTAATTGAAATATATTAAGCAAAAAGTGACCTTTCCATTTGAGGACAATCTCATTCAAAATTGTTCATTTTCTCAAGCATTCATTGAATCAAGATATCCCTTTTACTCCTTAACTCGACTCTATTAAAAAATTTCCAAATTTCATGAATGATTTGTAGTACTTATTTCATAGAGGCCAAATGTGTCTCTATCATAGAATAATAGCGGGCACTTATGTATTTAACTTGGGGTGAGTTTGCGGTCTTAAACATTCAAAATATGGCACACAACCAATGCCGTCGAAACATAGTGTTTTACAGTCGAAAATCTTTGTGACGACCTGAAAATTTATTTCCATATCTAATTATGAATTTAAAGATTTGGAAATGGCGTAGATCGAACAGATTTATGAACACTTGAAAATATTAAAAATGGATAGGCTAGATAATGCATTACAAGATGCACTATTTCCAAGACTTGAAATCCTTATTTTTTCACTTCCATGCGTCTCGAGGCCAAGACGATCAATTGGAAGTTTTTTTCGCATCAGAACAACTTTTTCTATTGAGTTTATGAGGTGTGACTTACATGTATTGCAAAAGATTGATAACTTATATATGCTTTTTCCTTTATCTTCTTCCTAT